AAACCTAGGCATTGTTTTAGGCCATGTTTTAAACATTTTTTTTGGCATATTTAACTTTTCCTGAATACTGATGAAAACCTTGTAGTACTTTCTTGATCATATGTACTGCAGTGTTTTCTTTCTGTTTACCTGGTAATTTTATTAGTGAACACCAAGGCACTGACAGTACAAAAATAACTAATTCTGTTACTGTCACAGTTGTTTTAAATCAGACAAGCAAGATGTACTTGATGATATATTTATTGGACTAACTATATAGTTGGGAAAGATGTTGGACAAACTCCTGTGCAAAAAATGTCCTTCCTCAAGTCAGAGGAAGAACAGATACAATCTAAGGGAAATACCTTAGCACGTAGGTACCACAACTAGTTTCAGCTCCATTTCATAGACATTAGGGGCTGGAAGGGACCTCATGAGATCGAATCCAGCCCCCCTGCTATAGTCAGGAAGTCTGCTGGAGTCAAATGATCCCAACAAGATATGCATCCAACTGCCTTTTGAATGAGAAATTCTTATTTTTCTCACAATTCCTGGTGACAAATATCATCGTCATTTTTTTAACTAGTCTCGATGAACAGCGTTGATCAATATTGCTATTCATTACATAAATGAAAATGATCATTAAACTTCTCTGTGCTCTGCAGGTTTACTGCCGCCTTCTCATTTTTCAAGTAACCATTTTTATTTACAAAATGGAGTTACACAAAGTTAATGTTCCATCTGTTTTTTAGTTTAGACCATATTTGCTTTTTCCCAAGATCTAAATATTTTTCGCCCAAAAGCTTGTTTAACAACTTTCCCAAATGGTCCTGTAAAAAATAGCAAGAAACCCCTTGCTTCTTGCACTTTCTCTGGGCCATCACAACCACAAGAGCACTACACCACTTTTCAAATCAGGACAGTTAGTAACAATACATCCAGTTTTTAAGATTAGAATTTACCATTAAGCCTAAAAAATAACCAAGCAGAGCCCAAGCCATGCATTTATACACAAAGAAAGAAGCCCATTCAATTTATTTATTAGGGAGCACCTTTTTGGAGAGTACTGTACTTTCTGAATAGTCCTAATTCAACTCCTGATGAGAACAGAGTTAAGGTGGACATAACACATACAGTATATCGTTTTAAATGTGGTTTAAAGCACAAGCTTCTAGCCAAGCCAGCCAATTTAGAACAGTTTAAATCTCCTGGACTGTTTCAGGAGTATACTTGGATAATCAGCTGTTATTCTGAACTGATCCTCCTTAAACCTGTTCGGTGTAACAGTCAGATAGCAATCTTTCCATGACTAGTGTCTGGCTGGACCTCCAGGAATCCCATATAACACTGCTGCTCACCCTATTCCTTCCTCTCCAACCCCTACATGGCAACTAGCTATTCTATTATGTAGCCAAAAAACAAAAGCTCCAACCTATATTGTCTGTATTTGACCCAGTCCATGCTGTCCTGGGCTGATTTGGGCTGAATGGAGGTGGTCAGGTATGAAGAGGGTGATATTCCTGCTTCAGGAGTCCCAAGGCACTAGATGCTCTGTGGAGGAGAGGGTTGCCCAGTGTCTCTGCAGCCTTTAAACCAGGGGCGGGCAATTATTTTGGGCAGAGGGCTGCTTACTGAATTTTGGCAAGCCATCGAGGGCCTCATGACAGGCAGCCCAGGGAAGATAAATATTTATTTTCTACATTTTTTAGGGGCCCCTTGGGCCGGATAGAATGGCCTGGTGGACCACATCTGGCCCCCGGGCCACATTTTGCCCACCCCTGCTTTAAACAGTACCTTCTGCCAAGCTGCTTGGCAGTTTCATTGCATTGCAGTTTACCAGGCTTTGAGGCATCCCAGACTAGTAAATACAAGTTTGGCCGGGGCTGTGTGGCTAGGTGGGTAGAGGCAACTTTTAAACAGCGTTTTCCCTAAAACCACTGGTCAATTTCATCCTTTTGTGGCAATTGACAAAGAGACCTTGGGCACTGCCCAGAGCACCCACAGCCTTGGGGTCCCAGAAGCAGGGATGCTCCCTTTACCCATTTAGCCACCCTTCTCCCACCCCAGATCAGTCTGGGATGCATCAGTACCTGCTTGGTTGCCACAAACGGAATGAAACAGATAAGCAGCCTGAGGGAGAATGCAGTTTAAATGCCATGGGGACCATAGACAGCCCCCAAAATACCCAGCTCCCCAGGAAGCCAGAAGTAGTGGTCCAGGCACCTTCCCACGCCTGGCCACCCCTAGAAAGAGTCTTCTTAAGACCTTACCCTGAGCCATAGACCTTGTGCTGCTCTAAGGAGCACCTGGAACATCTAACCTCACCCTCCCTTCCCTAGGAAGAGAGAAGCAGGGGTTCAGGTAGACCCCTCCCCAACTAGCTAGCCACCACTTCACACCCAAATCAGCATGTAATAGGACCAGCCTGGGTCAGGTACCAGAAAACTGAAGTAAGCTGATGGAGGGCCTGGGAGAAAATGCTCTTTAAAGGCCAGGGAAGCTCGGGAAGCTCCAGAGCACCTAGCTCCTAGAAATACAGAAGCAAGGGTCAAGCCAATTCTCTCTTCTCCCCTCACCTCCATACCCCTGGGGACACCCAGTCAGGATACCACCACACAGGTTTTGTTAACATGCAAGAATGAGCTGCATTGAAATCATTTGCTCTTAATTGAACTCCATGTTAGTGAGAAGGAAGATCAGAAAATTACCCTTGCAGGCAGTTGATGTCTTCCTCTCCCTTGGTGCCCAGCCAATCAGGGTCTTCCTGTCCTGCTTGGGGTATACTGGGGAAACTGGGGTACTCACCACTGGGAGGCATGCTGGGCTGAGTGTTCACTGCCACCCCTTAGTGGCAATTTAAGTATTGCAGTGCTTAAAGATGAGTCAAAAGATGACTGTTCTCCTTAAAACCCTTGGCAGTGCATGTGTGGATACTTTTAAACTGAGAAGATTGCAAACTAGTTCCCAGTCGGTAACATTCTTGGACTGGTTCAGGTATTGTGCTTCTGTTTACCCAAAGGGTCATTGGCATCAAGTGGTTTTATGATGCCTACTTCAGGTAGGGACAGAAGTAACATTTAAAATGTTTCCAAGTGTAAACAGGCCTGGAAATGTTTTACAGAGGGATCGTTTTAGCAATGGGATGCAAGTACAGCATGCAGCTGCAGCTGTCCAGCCAGGGGGCACTACAGGAGGTTGCAGTGGCCTGCGACTGCTCCCCGTTTCCCCCTAAAGGGGATGGAGTGTGAGTGGAGGGTGCCTCTCACCAAAGAGAAAGAGGATTTGGGAGCTGGAGAGCCTGGCACTGGTAATGGTGGAGGTGGTGAGGAGGGGGGCAGGTGTCAGTAGGTGTCTGCCATGGGGGAGCACATGAGGGTCTGTAGCAGCAGTGCTAGTTCTTAGTAAGGAGCTGGCAGCACCCTGGGAGCAGTAGTGCCCTGAGTGCCAGAGTAGCTGGGTCCCAGGAGCAGATCTAGTGGCTGGACAGTTTGGCAGGCTGTCAGGAGGGAGGGAAGATGAGTGGAGCATTGTGGGATTCTGGAGGACCTAAGTCCCCCATCCCTTTGCAGAGATAACAATAAGTGAAGAGCTTAAAAATAATACCTCATTTCAAGAGAGAGTATTTTGGGGCACTTCAGCTCTTTTGAAATGTTTTGAAGGACATGCATATCTGTACAGCTTTCCTCCCTTTCTTGTACCTTTTTATAGTGTTATCTTTGCATCCACACTACTAGGTTCTAATGGTACTATGTAGTTTAACTGTGACAAATTTTGCCCTCTTTGTTCTGTTGCTTGCATCCGAACTGAGAGTACTTTAAATGCAAATGAAGGAAGAGTAACTGATACATCTCAGGTGTGATGGACGTGGTGCCTTTTAATTTGTTCATGCTCTGAAATCTTCACTTACTTCAGTCACTGAATGAGAACTAAGTGGGACTTTAGCATGAAAAAAAGGAATTGGTAAACATGGAGTAAGGTGCTTATTTTATGTTCCCTGTGCCGCTGCTAGTTGTCCCTGGGGAATGTCTGTGCCATGCACCTTCTGGCACATGGCAGGTTACCCCATGTGGGATAGGGAAGTCCGGGGTCAGCACTGTGCTAGCCCCAGCAGCCTTACCTGGGCTCTGGGGGCCTTCCGGGGCTGCAGCAGTGGCAATCTCGCCGCTCAGAGCCTAGCCAGCAGCCAGTGTGTGGCTCTGGCTAGTGCTGCTCAAAACCAGAGCCTGGCGCATTGCCCCTGCATGCACTGCTCTGCTTTTTTCTTACGCAAGTTGTTTTTGGCGGGGGGGTTATCCATGGAGACCCAGGAGTCAAAAATCCCCCCTGCACTGCTCTCTTGCAGCGTGGAGAGCAGCTGAATGAGCAGTATGTGGTGCCACAGAAACGTCTGCAGTGACACATACCACATGGCCGTGCTCATCTGGACATGGCCTAAGGTTGCAAAATTAAGTAATAAAAAATTAGGAATTGCCAAAGTTAACATTATGTGCATAATAGATTTAGCATAATCTAATGAGTTGTTGTAGTAGATGTGATAAAAAATGTTATAATTGTTTATTGCACTAAGACCTTCAAACTCTCAACGTGATTTAATTCAGTTTTTAAAGTGGTAAAGAATTTCAGAGATTAGAGTAACAGAACCTGTGTGGTATGTATTGGTGAAATGAACAGCCATTGTTGGGCTATTTTTTCATAAAATCTCATTGAGATTCTTCTGAGCAGATTCCTTTTATTGTATTTTGATATTTATTGTATACGTTCTAGGGATAATTTTCAAACACAATTAATAGAAGCCAGCGGGCCAGCTGGCAGCCAATTTGAGCTTTGGTGAAAAAAATGTATTCCTTTTGTAAGGGTATCAGCGTGCTTTTCACAAAGAATTATTCTCATACATAATCAAAATATACTTTGTCGGTGTAGGATAAGTAGCAAAAAAATGAAATGTTTATATGGAACTGCATTGTAGTGTGTCAATTGCTGTATTGTTAACACTGAGCAAATTTGTGTGTTTCTTCTATTAGGTAACCCAGGATTGGCAGGTTATTACAGGACCTTCATCCAGGCTCTTTATTGCGGACTAAACCAGCAGTATCCAGTTTGGGCAGTGAGCCATGCGGGGCACTGTAAACCCCCGAGTGGTATGGAAATGACAGAAGGTACTGTACTGTAATTTGGATCTCACCTACTCTGCAATACTGTCTTGCAACATATGTAGCTATTAATAATCTCACTTAGCCCTTACATGGTATTTTTCATCTTTGAATTTCCCCACCAATGATCCACAAAACAACTTTGAAGAAGGGGCGTGCTGAGAAAGAAAGCGAGTTGGCTGATGTAAAAGCAAGGAGGGTGGGTTGCTTCGGCTCTTGTGAAGGAAGCCATAAAGGAGGAAGACCAAGGGTCTTGGGCACTGGGTTGGTGGGGAGCCAATGCAGAGCCCAGTCTGAGCATCACAAGACCCTTGCACATGGTTAGAGCTCTGTTGAAGTAGCACTGGAATCAGTTAGGCTCCATAACAGTAATAGGTTTCACCAGCTTAGAAGAAGTTTTAGTATTAGGATGGCTCTTAGGATAGCTTTCTTTACTGACCGCATTTGCGCCTGAACTTTTGAGCCTTTATATTAGCTTCTGTATTTTCAAAGCTAAAAGTGAAACCTGAAACCTGTTGGCCTTTTTGTCAAATTGCTACTAATTATTCTGGTCAAATGTCAGACTCTAAGCCAAACATTAACACTTTGGCATGGGAGAAGAGAATTCCCTGTGCTTCTGCCTTCTGGTACAATGGGGCCTGCACTTGCTGGTAAGCATATAGCACTGTGGAGTTAAGCACTGGAAACTGTTGATGGATAGCTAAGAAAAAAGGGGGAAAAAAAGAATTAATGAAATGACACTATGCAAAGTTTTCATGTAACTTTCTGTTTATTTTATTTGGAGCAGAAAGTTCAAATCTTGTCATCAGCATGCATTTGAAATGTGTTTAAAATGTTCTTCAGGGAGTCTCTTTCAGACTTAGTCTTCTAGGAGATTCTAAAAACTTTAATAATTTAAAAAAATATATATTGTTACTGCCCTAGACTACTTGCTTTACTAGGGCAGCAAATTATACTCTGCAATAGCAATTTAAGAATGCAACAACAAAAATAAATTTCACTTCAAATAAACCCAAGGGAAAATGCCAAACAGCTAGAAATCCTCAAGTTATGCCACACTGACACGATATAAATTGTGTGCAATAGAAGAACAGATGTTGGCCTATGTCAGGAGGAAGGAAGAGAACAGGAAATAACAAAAAGCAAGTTTGAGTTATTAGAAGCTGATCTTTCCTGCATTTATTTATTGCAACAAATGCAGTGAAGGAAATGCAAATTGACTGCAAAAACACGACTAACTAAAGCATGAATAGACTGTATATGCAGCACCTAAACATTCCAAGTCAAAACTAGAAAAGGTGATGTACAAGACCAAAATTAACCTCTACAGGAAAAGTCTGTGAGATGTGTACATGAGTGCTATGATGTGATCAGCCCTCCCACCCCGCCCCCCCAGTGCCTTAAACTCGTAGCATAAGGAAAATGTAATCAAATAGTATACAACCATATGCAGTGCAAAAGTATTAGGATTGTAGGAAAGTACAGCTGAAAGCGACCTCACAAAGTCATCTAGTCCAGCCCCTTGCTCAAGGCAGGGCTGTCCCTGACTAAACCATTTCAGCCAAGTGTCCATCCAACCTGCTTTTGAAATTTCAAGGGGTAGAGATTCCACAACTTTTCTAGGTAGCTTGTTCCAGCGTTTGGCTGCCATAATACTCAGAAATTTCCTCCAAATCTTCACCCTAAATTTCCTCTGCTGGGGACTGAAGCCACTGCTCTTAGTCCTGTTTCCTATAGCCACTCTGTAATTAAGGGTAATTACAGAGCCAATCTCTGTCATGTCTGTAATTACCCTTCAGTTATTTGAAGATTGTTACCAAATCCCGCCTCAGTCTTGTCTTCTCCAAACTAAACCCTAGTTTTTTTCAGCCTTCCCTCATAAATTGTGCCTCCTAGACCTCCCATTTTAGATGCTCTGCACTGGACTCTCCAGTCTGTCCACATTCTTCTTGAAGTGTGGAGTCCAAAACTGGATATCATACTCCAGGTGAGGCCTCACCAATGCCGAGTAGAGCAGAATAATCATTTCCCTTGATTTGCAAGAGTTGCTCTTATTTGATACAACCCAGTATGCTGTTAGCTTTTTTGCAACAAGAACACACTGTTGGCTTATATTAGGATTATGATCCACTCTAACCCCCAGGTCTTCCTCTGCAGTACTACAGAGTACTCCAGCCTCACCAGTCATTACCCAGTCTGTCTTTGTACATGCAGTTATTCTGTCTCAAGGACTTTGCACTTGTTGTTGTTGAATATCATCTGATTGCTTATGGATCATTCTCTGTCTATCCAGGTTATTCCAGATCCTAGCCCTGTCCTCTAGAGTATCTTCAATTCCATTCAACTTGGTGTCATCTGCAGATTTGCTAAGTATGCATTCAGTCTATCATTCAAATCATTAACAATGATGTTAAACAGTACTGAACCTAGAACAGACCACTGGGGAATCCCATTTAATACCTTTTCCCAATTAGACATTAAGTAGGATGTTCTGGCCAGTTATGTATTCACCTTATAGTACTTTCATCTAATCTGTATTTCCTGAGCTGTATTTCCTTAGCATTTCCATGAGAATGTCTTGGGGGATGGTGTCAAAAGCCTTGCTAAAGTCAAGGTATATCACATTCACTGCTTTTCCCCCATCCAGAGAGCCCTTTTCCTTAATATAGAAGGAAATCAGCTTGGTCAGGTGTGACTTGCTCTTGGTAAATCCATGCTGCCTTTTCTTGATCACCTTGTTCTCCTCTAGGCACTTTACAGTAGATTCCTTGAACTCCTGCTCCATGATCCTTCTAGAAATCAAGATCAGGCTGGCTGGTTTGTAATTCCCTAGATCCTCCTTCTTCCCTTAAAGATGGGCACTATACTTGCTCTTTTCCAATCATACAGGACCTCGACCTGACCTCCATGAGTTCTCAAAGAGGATAGCCAATACCTCAGAAATGACCTCAGCCAATTCCGTCACTACCCTAGGATGCATCCCATGCCTGACTTACAGGCATCTAGCTTTAAAAAAAAAACCCTACCCTGTTTTGCCATTATTCTAGGCTCTTTGTTTCCTTTCTTATCTTTACTGCCAACTGCACTCCTCATCTAGTAGCTACCCCTATTTGTGAAGACTAAAGTAAAAAGTCACTAAATGCTTCAGCAATCTCTACATCATCTGGAAGTAGATTGCCTTATGCATTCTGTAAGGAACCTTTGGTCTCTTTGGTCTTCCTCTTACTTTTGGCATACTTGCAGAACCCCTTTTTATTGCCTTTTATGGCCCTTGGCAGTTGAATCTCAAATTATGCCTTGCCTTCCTAATTTTTTTCTGAATGTCCAAATGATTCTCTTATATTCTGTCTTAGTACTGTGACCAAGTTTCCACTTTCCATAGGATTCTTTTGAGTGTGCACTCATTGAAGAAATTTTCTGTCTGGTCAGGCTAGCCTTCTGTTACACTTTTCATTCTTCTGTTGCAATGGAATAGCTTGCTCCTTTGCCTTGTCTGTTTAAAGTACATCCAGCTTTCCTGAACTCCTTTACCCCTCAGACTTGCTCCCACCATTTCTCTGAGTTTGATAATGTCTGCTTTCCTGAAGTCCAGTGTCCTTACTCTGTGCTTTCTTTCCTTCCTCCCTTTAGGATGTTGAACTCTTAGCATTTTTTGGTCACTGTCACCCAAGTTGTCTTCCACTTTCACATTCTCTCCCAATTTCTCCTTGCTTGTGAGCAGTGAGTTAAAGGAGGGTCTCTACTAGGGCTGTGTGAAGTGGCCCCTATTCGATTCGGATTTGGATTCAGCCCAAATTGGGGACAGTGATTTGATTCGTTGATTTGGATCACTGTCCCTGATTCAATTCGGCTGAATTGAAATCTGAAGATTCAATGCTGATTCGGAGAATCAGCAATTTGGACATAGGCACAGCTTTAAAAGTTTTTTCTACATACCTTGAGGTAGCAGGCGCGGCTTGTGAACGCTGCAATGCTGGGGCACGTGGAGCATTGGGCTAAATAACTGCCAAATCAAATCAGGGATCAAAGCTTCACACATCCCTAGTCTCTACCACCTGTATCCAAAAGTTGTGCTCATTACACTTCTGGAATTTGTTGGACTACTTGCGCACTGCTGTGTTTCACTCCCAGAAGATATTTGATTATTAAAGTAGCCCATGAGAATCCATTTCTGTGATTTGGAAGCTTCCATCAGTTGTTTAAAGAAGGCCTTTTGTTTTGGTGGCCTGTAGTAGATGCTTACCATGACATTACCCAGCATGGCACCCCCTCTGATCTATACCTAGAAGCTTTCAAAAGGCTTACCTTGCACTTCATACTACACCTGGAAAGATGAGTTCATCACCTTTATTTATATATATATATATATATAGATATATATAGGGAAACACCTCCTTCTTTTTTTCCCCTGTCTGTTCTTCCTGAACAAGCTATACCCATCCATGATTATACTGCAGTCATGTGAACTATCCCATTGAATCTCTGTAATCCCAATTGCATCAAAACTGGGAGATTGTATTATGACCTCCAATCCTTCCTGTTTATTACCCATGCTTAGTGCATTATTATATAACCACTTCAGGGATCTAACTGATGGTCCTCTCTTCCCTCTGGAAACATTACTAAGGCTTCCATTATTGCTTCTTCTTACAGTAAAAGCTTTGCTATCTGGCATGAGGGGGGTAAGGAGAGTGCCAGGTATCTAAAAATGCCGGTTATTGGAATTAGCGTGATGGTGCCAGCACAGGGTGGTGATGGCAGTGCTGGGTGCTGCTACATGCAAATTCCTCCCCCACCACCCCTCTGTCCAGCCGGCCAGGCAGAACCTGTGCAGCCTGCAGAGGGGAGTTGTTGCACTCCCCTCCCCCTAGCCCTGCTCAAGCAATACTTCATGCACATGCTGGATAATAGAGTATTCCAGTTAGTAAAATGCCAGTTAACACAGCTTTTACTATACTAAGTTTTTAGTCAGGTTGCCTGGCTCTTTATTTATGTCTGGGCTTCTG